TACATACTTCATTCAAAGAACTGTGATGGAAAGGGAGAAAAATTCTAGAAACATCTGGCACATTTTAAGACTTGGACAACCCACCTCTTTGTTCCCATGGAAGAGATCACTTTTATTTTTTATTTTTATTTATTTATTTATGCATACAAGAGCTGGGGTGCAGGCTGGAACTGCGGGGTTGAGAGGATTCACCAGAGACATTGTGGGAAGCAGAACAAGAAGATGTACTGAAATACACTGCTGAGGGGAGCAGCTGGTGAGTCAGGAGAGGTCTGCTGCGCCATGTGTGTCACCTCCCTAGCCAGCAATTGAACTCATGCTTCAGAGACTGCCAATAGCTTGATAGTGCTGAGACTTAACCCCTTGTGCCACCACAGAAGCCCTAAGTGATAATAATTTAAGGTAGGTTCATCAATGGTAGCAAATGTGCCACTGGTGCAGGGTGTTGATAATGAGGAAAGCTATGTATGTGGGGGGCTGGGAAGCATGTTGCAATTTCAGTAATTTCCCATCAATTTTGCTGTGAACCTAAAGCTGATTTAAAAACATAAAGTATTTTCTAAAACACCAATAACTTTACACATACCAAGTTATGTATTACTGATTACAAAATCAACAAGATGGTAATAACATAAAACTACATTTGTGAGATCCCAGTTCTGTGAAATGTTGATATAATGTGTATACAATATATTTATGCTTATTGAAGCAAATTAAAATAAGGGAATGCAATAGAGCAAATTTTTTTTTTTGCACTGATGGTGGGATCACTGGCTATTGATGTTTTCATCTCTGTAGTTAACTGTATTATAATCATTTGGCAAAATGAATAAATATTATAATTATGATAAAAAGAACTTCAACCCCTAAAAGTTTTTGCTCATTACTTATAAAATATACACAGTTTTATAAAGAGCAATAGAACAAACGTGTATATCCACTGCCCAGGTACAGCAAAAAACCTGAAAAATACTTTGAGTCATATACTTCCTTCCTCTTTGGATGTAGCTAATAACCAGAATGAAATGTTTATCCATAAAATACATAGAAGATAACATAACCGATAAACTCTTTGACATAGTTCTTAGGTATATCTTTGTGGATTCAACTCCACAAAGAGATGAAGACAAAGACAATATCAACAAATAGTACTACATCAAACTAAAAAGCTTCTGCACAGCAAAAGAAACCATTGTTAAAATGAAAAGGCTGCCTGCTGGTTCGTTCCCCGGCCGCCGGCTAGGGTCCCACCAAAAAAAAAAAAAAAAAAAAAAGAAAAGGCTGCCTACTGAATAAAAGAAGGTATTTGCAAAGAAGGTATTTGCAAACCATGTATCAGACAAGGGGTTAATATCCAAAATTTATAAACAATACAACAGCATCAAATATAACCTGATTAAAAAATGGGCAGAGGATCTAAATAGACATTTCATCAAAGAAGACATCACATGGACAACAGACACGTGAAAACATGTTCAACATTGCTAATTATAAGGGGAATGCAAACAAAACCACAATGAGATACCACCTCCTACTGTACTGGAGAGAGTGGCTATTTCACTGTGGTTTGATTTGCATTTCCCTAGTAATCAGTGAAGTTGAGTATTTTTCCATATGCCTGTGGGCCATCTGTATGTCTTCTTGGAAAGTGTATATTCAGGTTATATATACACACAATGGAGTACTATTCAGCACCCTCCCCCCCAAAAAAAAGAAAAAGAAGGAAATCCTGTCAATTGCAACAACATGGATGGAACTTGAGTGCATTATACTAAATGGAATAACAGATTAAAAACTACAGTATGGGCATTTGGGTTGTTTCCAGGTTTTACCTATTATAAATAGTGCTGCAATAACCATAGGGGTACAGGTGTTCTTTTGAATCAATGTTTTCTTGTCCTTTGGGTAGATCCCTAGGAGTGAACTGGATCAAGAAGATGTGGTATATATATACAACAGAATACTATTCAGTAATCAAAAAAGATAAACTCATGCCATTCACAGCAACATGGATGGAGCTGGAAGGAATTATGCTCAGTGAAATAAGTCAGAAGGAAAAAGGAAAGCATAAGATGGTTTCACTTACAGCGGGAATATAGGGGAACCAAATAAGACATCAGTGTAAATAAAAAAAATAATAACAGTACAAAACACAACAAAGCAAAAACAGACAATTATAAATCAGAGACATCCTGCAGGGGAGGAGGCGGGAGAGGGATCAGAGGCAGGGAGGGAGGAGCACAGGGGCCTGAGGTGATGGTGCACGGTGTATTGGGAAGGAAATTCTATGGGGACTACACCTGGTGCGGGGGAAGCAAATATTGTTTAAAAATGAACAATGATGTAAAAAATAAATTAAAAAAAAGAAACCTAAAAAATTACAGCATGATCTCACTTATATGTGGAATCTACCCAAAAAAAGCAAAAAAAAAAAAAAAAAAAGCAAAAAAAAAACCTTGATAGAAAAAGATGGATAAAGAAGTTGTAAGATTTTACATACTTTGTCCATTGATGGGCACTTAAGTTGTTTCTATGTCTTGGTTGCTATAAATGATCCCGCAGTTATCATGGAGGTGCAGTTATTGTGGTTTTGATGTACATTTCCCTGATGATTAGTAAAGTTCAGCATCTTCACTTGTACCTTTTGGACATTTGTAAATGTCTGTTCTGGTGTTTCGCCCTTTTTAAATTATATTATTTGGGTTTTATTTCTTCTGTTAAGTTGTATGTGTTCTTCATATATATTGGATATTAACTGCTATTAGGTATATGATTTGCATATTTTCCCCAATTTGTAGTCTGCCTTTTCATATTTGTTTCTTTTGCGAGATAGAAGTCTTTTAATTGGATGCAGTCCCACTTATTTCTTGTTTTGTGTTTTAGAAAAAATTTCTCTCAAGACTCATGTCAAGGACATTTTCCCCTATGATTTCTTGTAGGGGTTTTATGGATTCCCTCCCTGTTACAATTAAATCCTTAATCCAATTTGCGTTCCTTTTTGTGAGTGCTGTAAGATAGGGGTCTAATTTAACTCTTTTACATATAACATTCATTTCCCCCAGTTCCCTTGTCAAATATCAATTGACTGTATATGCAGGAATGTATTTCTGAGCTCTCAATTCTGTTCCATTGGTCTTTGTGTCTTTTTATTCCACCACCACAGTTTTATTTACTATAGATTTATAGTGCAGCTTGAAAACAGTATGTGTGATGCCTCCCACTTTGTTATTTCTCAGGAATGCTTTGGTTATTTGTGATCTTTTGTGGTTCTATTTAAATTTTAAGATTTTTTTTCTACTTATGTGAAAAAAAAGTCATTGAAATCTTGATAGGGATTGCAGCAACTCTATACAGGTAATATGGACATTTTAGGTAATATGGACATTTTAACAATATTAATTCTTTTGACCTGCAAACACTGGACACGTTTCCATTTATTTGTGTCTTCTTCAATTTCTTTCATCAATGTTTTGTAGTTTACAGTGTAAAGATCTTTCACCATCTTGGTTGCATTTATTACTAAGTGTTTTTATTGTTTTCGATGCTGTCATAAATGGGATAATTTTCTTTTTTCAGATAATTCATTGTGTACAGAAATGCTGATTTTTGTGCATTAAATTGGTATCCTAAAAAAAATAAATAAATTGGTATCCTGCTATTTTACCGAATCCATTGATTATGTTTGGCAATTATTTTGAGGAGTCTGTAGGATTTTCTACATATAAAAAACGTCATCTTTAAGTAGAGACTTTACCTCTTCCTTCCCAATTCTGATGATTTTCCTTTCTTTTTAATGCTTAATTGCTGTGGTTAAGACTTCCAGTAGTATGCTGAATAGAGCAGTGACTGTGAGGAGCTTTTTCTGAAGTTCCTGACTTAGAGGAAAAGCTTCCAACCTTTCACTACTGAGTATTATGTTAACCGTGTGTTGTTATATATGGACAGCCATTTTTATGTTGAAGTATATCTATCTATACTTGTTTCCTTTATCATGAAAGGATGCTGAATTGTGTCACTTTTTCTGTGTCTATTGAGACGATCATATGAATTTTCCTGTGTTGTATGTCATGTAACATATTGACATGACATATCCTTGTATCCCAGGGATGAATCTCTCTTGAACATGGTCAATGAATTCGGTTTGCTAGTTATTTTACTGAAAATATTTGAATTTATATTTAGTAGATATATTATATATAATCATCATTTGTAGCATGCAGCTTGGAAATTTTTATGGATATTATTTTAATGCCAAAAATAATGCCTACTTTTTGTCCAAATTGCAATTACAAAAGTGCAGAAAGTAATTGTGCATGTGTCCCTTTCAATTCTGCTCGTTGGCAGTCATTGAGAAAGGTCTCACAGAAGGGACCACACTGTGAGATTTCACACTAATCCTGCAGTTTGGAAGGAAAAAGTAACTGGCAGAACACCCTCCAGCACGTGGGCATGGATCACCAGGGGTCAACTCTCTGAGAAATGCACTGGGCAGACAGACTGACTCCTCCTCACTGTCAGGTGCTGAAGTGAGACCCCCCACCGCCGCCGAGTGCACCATCAGAGGGGATAGGCGCATTTCCCGTTCACCTGCGTGCAGACCACCGAAGTGTTCACAGAATGGCCTTGGGAAGCATCGGGACGATGAGGAATGAGAAGTGCCACACGCGAGCCTCCCCTCCCACGCTCCCACCGCCCTCGCTAGCCAGCAGGCGTCCCTCCCAGAGCCCCAGTTGTTGCAGGGAGCAGGCCTGCCTGTGTGGGCTTCCCATGGAGCCCCGGACCGAGTCGCGCGTCACGCTGTCTCCAAGGCCCATCCCGGGAAGCGGGGTGTGTCCTCTCTCCTCAGAGAGTCCTGGCCAGGCCTGGGTAACAGCCGGGGCTGCCGGTGTGAGTGTTGACAGGGAGGGGCGGGGGGTGGGGGCAGCTGGGACGAGCTACTCAGCCTGGGCCACGGGCACGTGGTTGGGGCAAGGGAAGAGAGCAACCGGGACACACGACACACAACGCCACTCTTTACTATGAAAATGCCAACAATCCGGGTGGGGAAAACAGGGAACACCGGAGCCAACTGACCCTACGGTAGGGGACTGTGGCTCCTTGGCCAGCCAGGCCGCCAACCCTCACTCTGGGGTGGCCTTAGGGTGAAGAAAAGGGAAACAAAGATGACATACAGGGGGACAAGCAGGACATCCGAGGGCCTGTTTAGGGGGTTGGTTTGAAGGCCTCTTCCGGGATCTTGCCCTGGTTCTGGAGGGAAAGGAGATGGACTGTCAGAAGAGCCAGCTCCCCGAGCCCCACTCCCCCGCCACCCGGCCCCACCGTCTTGGGCCTCCCCAAGGCCCCCAAACATTCATCTTTAAGCCCTTGCTCCCCAGACCTGACCTTGAGCACGGTGAAGATCTGCCCAGCTCTGAGGTAGTCCCACTCGTTGTCCTGCAGGCACCTGGGGGGGGGGAGACCAGGGGAGCTCCGTGAGCGCCGCGGCTCAGGCCGGGCCACCCTGCTGAGACACGCGTCCCGCGTGAGCGCCGCGTGTGGTGACAAGGACAGACCTAGGCGGAAGCCAGAGCTCCTGTCGCCGCCATTCCTGCCCACGGACGCAAAACAGAAAGAGAGCGAGCCCTGAGAAAGAGCGAGGCGACCGAAGATAGGCTGATAAACGACGATGCTCAGGGAAAAGAACACAAACATTTGGAAAGGACAGCTACTCCTATCGTTTGCCCTGGGATGGACGGCACAGACCGCCGCACTCCCCGTTCCGGGCGTGCAGCTCAGCGCCTGTGGTGTGTTCGCAGGACTGTGCACCGTCACAACCATCGAATTCCAAAATATTTTCATCCTGGCAAAAAAGAAACTCCTTACCCGCTAGCTATCCCTCCCCGTGGCCCGCTCGCGCCCACACCCAGGCCACCAGGAATCTACTCTTGTTCCCCAAGGACTCGCCCATTCTAGACGGTCATTGGGCGCGGCCTCCTACACCACGGGGACCTCCTGCGGCTGTCTTCCTTCCTTCCCTTAGCGGAAAGGTCCTTCCACGGCGCGTCAGACATCCAAACCTTTCTTCTTTATGAACGGAAGGCTATTCCACTCGATGGATGTACGCGCTTTATTGCTCCAGTCGTCAGCTGCGGGACGTTTGGGTTGTTTCCACTTTGGGGCTTTTGTGAATAATGCTGCCTCGCACACATCTTTGGAGAGTGCAGACATTTTCATTTCTCCTGGCCTACGCCTAGGAGTGGGATGACTGGGTGACGTGTAACTCCATGTTTAATGTTTTGAGGAAGCATTTGGGTTGTGCTTTTTTTTTTTTAAAGATTTATTCATTTGTATGCATACAAGAGCTGGGATACAGGCCAGAGGTGCAGGGGGTGAGAGGATCCACCAGAGACAGAGTGGGGAAAAGAACAGGCAGACCGACTGAAACACACTGCTGAGGGGAGCAGCAGGCGAGGCAGGAGAGGTCTGCCTCGCCATGTGGGTTTCTCCCTGGCCAGCTGGGGATTGAACTCGTGCTGCAGAGGCTGTAGATTGCTTCATAGTGCGGTGCTCAACCCCCTGCACCACCAGGGAGGCCCACGGGTTGTGCTTTCAGTGTCACATACAATGAGTTGCCTGGTGCAGGAAGACTTACATCTCGATTTTCCTCTTCTAAGCTCCTTTTTACAATGCTTTAGCTCTTGCTTTTACACCTGTGATCCATTTTCAGTCTATGTCTGTACATGGTATGAGTCAGGGGTCAAACCTTTAGCATGTGGGAAAACGGTCCTCCCAGCAACACATGTTGATGACTGTTTTTCTCCGTTGGATTGTCTCAGCACTCTGGTGGATCATTGCCTGACCGTACATGTAAGGGCTTGTTGGTGGACGGGCAATTATATTCCATGGATCCATATGACGTTCATATGCCAGTACCACACAGCTTTGATGACTGTAGCTTTGTAGCAAGTTTTGAAGTCAAGAAGAGTGAGTCCTCTAACTTTGTTCTCCTCTGTAAAGATTGTTTTGGCTCACTTCCACATGAATCTTAGGATAACCCTGTCAGGTTTCTCAAAGAAGGATTTTGGTAGGGCTTGTGTTGGATCAGTAGATTGCTCTGGGTAGTGTTGCCATCTTAACAATAGTGTCTTCCAAACCATGAACAGATATCACAGTATAATATTTGTGCTTCTTTTGTTATACTTGTTTTTAAGCATTTAACTATTTTGATGCTATTGTAAATGGGTTTGCTTTCTTAATTTCATTATTGTATTGTTCATTACAAGTACATAGAAAAACAAAAGATATTTGTGTTTGGGTGTTATAACCTGTAGCCTTGCTGAACTTGTTTAATCTGTTTTTCAGTCGTTTTTTTGGTTTTCCAAATACAAGATAATGTGATTTGAGTGTTATACTACATGAAAAACCCTTCCCATATATGACATGTGATACTTTTTACATGGGCCCACTTCTTTTCTGGAAACGGAATATCCAAATAGTCATTTTCCCATGTGCCCGTGAGTTTCTGTGACTCACTCCCCCCCCCCGTCCCAACTCACCCCCAGGCCCTTGCACACCGAGCACTCACTTCTGGGACCACTGCAGGTTCATCCCAGACTGGGCGGAGAAAGCCTGCACCATCTCCTGCTGCTGCTGCTGCTGCTGCAACAGGACGGGCACAGAGCCGGCGGTGGGCACGGGCAGTGGAGTGGAGAACGCGTTCTGAGTCTCATAGGGGGTGGCGTCCCTCACAAACAGCTCGTCATTCACGATGCAGACACTGGAGAGAGAATGGGCCCTCAGACAACTGGACAGACAGACACGCCCAACAACAATCTGCTCCTCCCTCTGCACCTCAGCAGCCAGATCCCTTCCACACTCCTATTATGCTTGCCTCCCAGTATCCTTGGGGGTACCTGCACCCTCCCACAGAATCCACCTCTACAAAGATTGTCTCTAGCTTCACCATATGTACAGGGTGAACCCCAGTGCATGTACTGGGTAAAGCACAGGAGAGGACACTCTAAGCCCATCTGCAGAGGAGACCCCGTGCCACACACAGGTCATGTGATTAGAGCAACGTCACACGACCAGTGAGGGTCGGGGTCAGGGCAGGGCAGCCCAGAGCTGACTCCGGGCCCATGCTCCTAACCATGAGGCCAGACTGCTCCTCTTTCCACCAGAAGACTGTGCACAACATTGAAGAAACCCAGGGGGCTGCACGGCCCCATCCCCCACTGCTGGCCCAGGCCGCCCTGGGTGTCCCACACCCAACACGGGGCTCACCTGGAATTGCTGCCAGGGGTGATGATAAAGTTTCTTGTGAAACCACGAACGGCGAATGGAGACTTTTCTTCCACTTCAATGACAAGCAAAAAATAATAACACCCCCTTGGGGTTCACATGCTTCACACACTCAGTGGCGTTCCCCGGTCAGGGCCTCCCTGGGTACCCAGGCTGAAGCGGGGGACAGCTGTCCTCTGGGAGTCAGGGTGTCGGGAACAGGCAGGGCAACAACAGGCGCCACCTGCTCCCAGGGACACGGCCCTGCTGGGGCCCACGGGCTCAACCACTTGCGTTCCGCAGCTGACCGAGACTGGGGTGTCAGCAGCCCCATTTGAAAGTGAGGCAACTGAGAGGTTCAGCAGGGGCTCCAAGTTCCCAGAGGAAGCATCTGGGGTGAGAGCCATGGAACCCTGCAGCCTGTGTCCCTCCCTCACCCCCCAGCCGTGTGGGTGTGGGGCAGACAGGCGGGGGGCAGGGCAGGCCAGGATGTACTTGGGGGGGGGACTGAAGAACACAGGGAATGGGGGAGCAGGGAAAGGGGTCTGGGAAAATGGCAGAATTTGAGGAAGCCCAGTCAGTGGGCGGGAGCTCTAAGGGGCCTGGGGGACGCTCTACAAATACTCACGTTCCCTGAACACCCCGTGGACAGAGAAGCAGAGCATGGCTTCCTGAAAGGGAAGCATCCGGGTGCTCAGTCACCACCGAAGCCTCCCACCCACTGTGGCTTTCTGGGTCTGCCCGAGGGAGGAAGCGGGTGCTCACCGTGTGGACCCACAAGTCCACCAGGAAGGAGCCGAGGTCATGCTGAGTTTGCGGCAACATGCACAGGGCCTTTATAATGTCATTGCTTGTATGTCTCAGAAGCTTATTCCGCAGGTCTGTTGGAGTGGGGAGATGCAAACAAAGATCAGGGGGGCTGCTATACCCTGGGCCCTAGGATTGACCCCTGCATGCCCTTTCCCTGCCCAGTCTTCCCCATAACACACTTACAGGGGTCCCTGAGATTTTTCATATTCCTGCTATCCTTGAGGTACAGCCACATGCTTCTTCTAGGAGAAAGAGAAACAGGAGGGAGTAGTCAGGCCTCTGCGGTTGTTCTTGGAGCTGACCGGAGTCCTCTGGGGCATCTGGGCAGCAGGATGAGAGTCTGGGCTGTAATACTCACGGAGCTGGGTCCTCAGGGTTGAAAGGAACACTCAGGGAGAAGCAGGACTCCTCATGGTAAGCACAGAGAAGACCCTTTCGGTCTCCACAGTCATAGATAGAGTAATATCTGTGAGGAGGCAAAGGGAACAGTGGGTCTCTGGATCCCAATGCGAACCCCAGTGGTCTGGGCCCAAAACGAGACCTGAAAACTCCCACGAGCAGAAGTGCATTTGGGCGGCTCACCAAACTCTCTCCTGGCCCTCCCCTACTCTCATGGTCCCGTGGGTTCTTACTGCTGCAGGAAGTTCATGATCAGATTCTTCAGTGTCTCAGAATCTTTAGTGATTTTCTGCAATTAAAAGATATTTGAGGTTATATGGCAGATGAAATTTCCCCTGTAATATACCATATGTTGTTTGCTCCTCCTTCCTCACCTTGCAGGGCTTTGTGAAGTAAGGGTTGTCAATGTCAATGACAACTAGTGAGGGCAACTCCTTCCCATCCTAGGAAAAGAACAGAAAGTCAGAAGTGGAGACCGGGTGTTGGCACTTTTCAGGGGTAAGGCTGGGACCAGGGGAGGGCGATGGTCAGAGATCATGTATGAAATGCTCTGGGGAATTTCATGGAACTAAGCACAGTGGGTATCTTCCACAGGAGATCTTGGAAGTCCCTACTATAGGCAACATTTGGGGGGTTTTGTGTGTGTGTGTGTGAGCCTATGTTTACATTTTACCAAATGGTATATTCATGCCTTTCTACTGGAGTCCATGTCTCTAAAATGGGTAAGGGTCCGATAAGCAAGTCATCCAGGCGAGACCCCAAGGAGGTGAGGGCAGGGTGGAGATCGTCAGCACGGAAAGAGAGGGCGACGAGCACAGGAACTTACCAGGCGTAACAGCGTGGGGATACACGCCCGGACGGAACTGTGCAAAACAAAACGGAAAGGAGTGGCTGACAGTTCAGGGTTGTCAAGCCCCTGCTCCCCCGCCCCTTCCATAGTAGCTCCTGGCTGGACTCCCCCCCCACCCCGCCCACTCCCTCTCCACCGCCACAAGACACAGCATCTGGAGCCCAGGCCCCAGGACTCTCCCCCCGCTCCGCAGCCTCCCTGCCTGCCTCTGGGCTCCAGAGAGAAGAGGGCACGGGGTGGGAGCCCAGCCACCTCACTGGAGGCCCAGCAAGGTCCCAGGACCAGGACCCCCCAGGGATGGCCCGGATGCTGGGCAGGAGGTGAGTGAGGTGGAACTCGGCAGGCAGGATGGAAAGGGGGCACATGAAGACTGAAAGGGGTGAAGGCAGGACGGGAGACAGGAGAGTCCCAGAGGCGCAGCTCACAGGAGAGAGAAGGCAAAGGGAAGGGGGCAGGAAGCAGAGGGAAGAAAGGGGAATTGGCTACCCTGTTGCAGGCCTTCCCTTCACCTGCCCCTGGCTGGCCCTGAGGCCCCACGTGGGCGTTGGAAGCATGCACCTGTGAGGCTGGGGCCCTCTGGGTGCCGCTGGGCCTTCCTCAGCCCCACAGCCCACCGAGCCGGGCATGGACAAAGGGGCAGCCACGGGGGCAGGACACCCTCCCCAGAGGAGTGAAGGGCCAGGCCCAGCTCAGCGTGGGGGGGAGGGTCTGCGGCCCCGCTGATGTCCCCGCCTTCTCTCTGCTGGCCCTGGGCTCCTGTGCCTGTCTTCCTTGGCCCCTTGCCTGGGAACTCAGACCCCTGACGGGCTACCCGGGGCACCTCTGCGGGGCCAGGCGGCACCATGGCCGGGTGGAGGGAGGGAGGGAGGGACAGTGCCCGAGAGGCCCGTCCTCTGTGTCCTCAGACGCCGCTGGCCTCTGCCTTCCCTCCCTCCCTCCCTCGGGAAGCCTCTGCTCACCGGGGGTGGCCCACCTCTGACCCCCGGCTCAGGAAACCCAGGTTTCTCCAAGGAGGTCCCAGCTCCTGGCTCTGGGCCGGAGGGACGATGACATGATGACAGCCACCCAGGGCCTCAGCCCCCAGCCCGGGCCAGGAAAGCCCCGTGACAAGCTGGGATTGGAGGGGGGCCCCTTGGAGCTAGGAAAGTGGGTGCCCCCAGGAGAGGGCAGCTTGGTCCCAGCACAGGGCAGGTAGGCCCATCTCAGCACCAGCCCGGCTGGACGTTCCTTCTCGTCCAGGGCACCACATCGGGCTCAGGCTGGTGACTGGTGGTCCCGGCGGGGAGGGAAGCCCTGCTTCCTGGGGCGCAGGCTGGCAGGGCATGCGAGAGAGGCTGGAGGCAGACTCAGGACCAGACCCCAGACTGGGAGGACAGCGAGCGGGTCGGAGGAAGGAGAGGAGAGCTATGAGTGCAGATGAGGGACACGGAGGGAAAGGAGAGAGATGGGCCCACAGAAGACCAGGTCTGCCGCCTCCTGGTGAGAAGCGCTGTCAGGGGTAGTTGAGGTTCCCAGGTGAAGGTCCCAGGAAAGGTGGCAGGGGCATCCCACTGACCTCACGTAGCTAGACTGGTCAGGGAAGGTGTCACACAAGGGGTTCCCATCCAGCCAAAGTTCTTGAAGGTTCAGCCCTTTCATCTTGCTCAGTTCCCATGTCAACCTCAACTGAGAAATATGGGAGGAAATTGGAAAACGAGTTATAAGAGTCATCCGGGCTGCTGTGCTCAACTCCTGTCATCACTCTAAAGACAGTATCACCTCTCCCGACCAAACTTTGCTCTGACTCCCTGTTCTCACCATATTTCTGGAGAGATTCAGCCTCTTGACTGTGGGGACCATCTGCACAATGTCACTCAGGCCATCCAGCTGGTACAGCTTGTTGTTGCACAAGTTGAGGGACAAGAGCTTGTGGGGAAGAAGACTTACAGCTTTAGTTCCTAGTATTTGGGGCCTGAGAGACAACTCTGCCCTCCCCTGGCCCCCATCTGTCCCACTTCCTAGCGTAGTGCCACAGGGCATGAAGTCTCACCTCGGGGAAGTTCTTTTTGATGATCTTCAGGGTGGCAGTCATGCAGCTCCTTCGATTCAAGATTATATCAATATCACGGATCATCAAGTCTAAAGGAAGTGGGCAGGAGGGAATCAAGAGTCCAAGAGGGGTCCAGGGCCTGCTGCACCCCCTTTTCATGTTACCATTCCAAAATCTTCTTCTGAGAGAAGGGACTGCTCAGTGTTGACCAGCCCTAGAATGATGCTGCCAGTCGTACCTGGGTCAAAGCGGAGCCTATGCAGGTCAAGAGCTTGCTGGGAGACATCATATCGTTTGTTTATGGTCACCTGCAGGGAGAGATGGACAAGGCCGCTCTGAGTCTGGTGGTAACAGGGTAAGTGGGGGATGGGGAGAAGACGTGGGTGTGGGTGGGCACACGACATGCCTTGAGTCTGCATTACCTCCAGATGCTCCATTTTTTCTGGCTCCAACATATTCTGTACAGAGTAGGGTTCAGTAGACTTACAGACAACAATATAGATCTGGGGAAACGACAGGTCATGAAAGCACAGGGAAGTTTAATTCCAGGGGCATGACCAGCTATTGGCCATTCTTCCTACCCCAGCACTTTGTACAGGTCATGTCTCAACACACACCTTATGGTTCGCCTCATCATAAATCTTATTGCTGAGGTCCTTCAGCGCACAAGCAGCGCTGCCATCTTGGACGAAGAACCGAGCCCGGTTTTTCACATAGTGGAACTGCAGGAGAAGGGCGCCACAATCATTGAAGCGGGGGGGGGGGGGCAGAAATTTCCTGCTCAGGCTACTCTTCACCCCACACCCCTTCCCTGTCCCCACTCATCTGCCTTCACCATCTTCTCTTACATCCACTGGAATGAAGGGGACATTGCAATGGGTCTGGAGTAAATTCATTAGCCACGCTTTCTCATACTTTATTCCATTAAGAATCTGAAATGAAAAGGGTTGGAGAAAGAGGAAAGCCAACACAGAACAAAAGACAAAGAACAAAGCCAACATGGGTTCATTTCTGACCAGCTGCTAAGCTGTAAAGGGCTTCTAAAAATCGGCCCACTGGCCTGATTTCTTATTTCTGCACCAAATAAGGATTTCTTACACCCCCTTTCTCTCCATCCAAAGATCTCCCAAAACAATTAAATTGTATTAGCTTCCTTTTACAAAGTTACACATGATCACAGCTAGCAAGAGCCTGCTTGCATTTCAAAGACTGTCTCAGACACTCGACCTGACCCGCATCCGCCACACTCAGCTAGAGGTAAACTGAGGCATCCAGTGTGCAGCTGCTCCATCTCCTGGAAGTGGTTTCCAGCTTTGCCTTGAGATGATCTCCCCCACTCTCCCTACAGTCAGCTCTTCCCTTTATGTTGCTTCTCTGAATCTTCCCTGAACTGATTAAAGCTATTAACTCCTTGTAATCTAAGGAAGAGATTATAAACTGTCCCAGCAGAGTAGCTAGCGTTTCTGTAGTAGACCTACACAGCTGTCCCCGAATGTTTTCTCCTGCACATAACATGCATTTTTCAGGACACTCACTGTGATCTTGAACCAGTTTCCCAGGTTTTCTTCTGGTGGTGTCTCTTTCATTTCTTTCTTCTCAGGTTTTCTTTCTCTCCACACAGTAATATGGATACGGCCTCCGTTTTTCCATTTCAGTCTCTTCTTATTGCCAAGGGTGCTATAGGGAGCACTGTGGGGGAAGTGGAGAGAACCAGGGTGTGCATGAATACTAGGAGTGTCTTCTACACACACTTGTTTCTCTGACACCTTGACTAGTACTGGGATTGCTCAACTATAATTCACCCCTAGCTTCCTTCAGTTTTCCAGTGAGAGAAGAAAAAGAAAATCACGAGAGTGCAGCTGTTGCATAGTCCCAGGGGCTGCTACATGCAAACCACACTGCCTGGCTACTTACCTTTTTCCTTCTGGGTTCTCCTGACCATCTGTCATCGCCTCATTTCCGTTCACCTCCTGTAAGTCTGTAGACTGAGCACCATAGTCACAAGTATCTTCGAAAGAACTGCAATCTTTTTTTCTTCCTTGGGGTGAGCTACCACCGCCACTGTATTCTGAAAAGAGGCACAAAAATATAAGTTTGAAGACACATCAGTCTTCACTAACTATGCACCATGCCTAAAGCAAACACTGTAGTGGTGCACGCAAAGTGTCAACCTGCCCAGAAAGGAATGTCATCTGGCTGTTAAGACAGAAGAGGCTTATCTGACAAATGACACTCTCAGGGGAGAAAGTTTGGAGGAAGAGTAGAATGAGGAAGAAGAAGAAGAAACTCTTTAAAATATGGAATAGTGTTTTAAAAAGAAAGGAGGTGCATGACTGTTAGACCAGGATGGTATTGGAATGTTCAAGTGTCTAGCAGCTACAGGTGTCAACACCTGGGAGACAACCTACTCAGGCTTCCCAGATCCAACCAGCAACAGTGCTTCATCTGCAAGCTGTAACTTTTTGCCATTTTACTACAAGCTTTAAAGTCAGGTAGAAATGACGTCACCACCTTTTAAGCTGACCCCCCTCCCTCCAGTCTTGCTGTCAACAACATTCTGTCTGAAATATCCAAAGTGAGTTTTCTTTTTTGCGCAGTTGAAATGCTTTCTGCTCTTCCTAACCTCAGTTCTTCCTATCAAGAGACTGAAGGATAAATAGTAGAAAAATGTCAACAGCCAACTCTAAGTATTTAGGGGTTCCTTTTTTATCTTTCTTATATAGACTTATAACTTTACTCCGTAATGACCAGAGAACACACTTTGCTTGATTTCAGTTCTTTCAAATGTGTGGAGGTGTGTCTGGCGGTCCAGAAGATGGTCTATCTTGGTAAATATTACATGAACACTTGAGCAAATCATGTGTGATTTGCTGTGGTAGGTGCAATGTCCCCTTCATGTTGTGTACATGCTATTAGTTTATTGTGGTATTCGGGTCGATGTAGTGCTGGTGTTGTCTCTGTTAACTAGATTGTTGTTAAGAGGGTGGATGTTGAAAGCCCCAACTGCAATTATGGACGTTGGTGTTTCTCTTTTCAGCTGTATCAGACCTTGCTACCTGTATTCTGAAACTGCTTTTTGGTACATACACGTTTAGTTAGGATAGCTACGCTTGTTGCCGCAGTGAGCCTTTTTCATTATGGAATGCCTCTCTTTGTCTCTTTAATTAGTTCCTGATTTCATAAACAAAAGAAACCTGAAGAGACTTTTCCCTAATTCTACAAAAGGAAAAAGCATAAACAATGTGCAGTGTCTGTTTTGCAGTAGCCATTCATAGGCAGCAGGGCAAGAGTGGTACCTGCAAGCTTCTTCCCTGGAACTCATTTTGACAGGCTGTGTATTGATCATATTCCCACTTTTACTATATATTAGTGTTATTTTAGGTTTTCTATGTTATTTTGGTATGAGTTAGTAGTTTATTTCCAGGATAATGGTAATTGCTTCTTTCCTCTGTATCATTTTGGCTTATGAGATGTTTTTAGGAATTCCTTACTTCAAAGTGAGGAAACCCTGCAACCCCTTACTTGCCCAGTAGTAACCAACCTTTGCTCCGTGTTGGGCAGACTCACCAGGTTTTTTGGACCTCTTCACAGAAAACCGGTGAGGACCATGGGGTCCCCTTTCACATCACGGATGCGGTCTCACAGGGACTCCTTCCATTTCCCAGGGCTTCTCAGCCACGTGAAGCCTCACCTACCGATCTGCTGCCACATCATCAGTGTTTCTTCAGCTACTATACTGGCTCTCCTGTATAGGTGAGCTTTTAGCTTCAATATTTCTGGGAGCATATCAGGGTTAATGTTTTGTGGGCAAGAGCTAGGGACTTCTGCTTGGATAGGACCAAGTGTCTGGGAAAAAGTGGAGCTATCTGCCTTGGACTAGATGGGGAAATTGGTTTGGATCACAGGGTTTGAAGTTACAAGTCATATGGGGCCAGCGGTGTCTGCCATGAAGTAGAGGTTTCACTGACATTTACATAATGAGCATTTATCATGTAGATTGGAGATCATCGACCAAGCCCCTTCTGAGAATCCAGACATCTCAACCATTTCTACCCCCATCTATTTATTCCAGAAACGAAGCTACAAAATCATTTCACAACTTGCTTGTAAAACTACCATGCATTGAATTTTTCTTTTGCAAAATTCCTATTTTTTCATTTAACGTACAGTCAAAAAGAGTTAAATTTCTCTTGTTGCCACATGAAAACTACAGATTTTCTGATCTTAAGAAGTGGGGGTGGTTTGTAAAGAGAGGTGACAAAAACACGGACAGGCTTTCCTTGAATCCAACAGTCTCCTGCTATCTGCTATGAGTAGGTAGAAAGTTCTGGATCTGAAAGCATGCCTGTGGGCGTTCAGTGTTGTGACAGACTATAAATACTGCCCCTGTCTCAGAGGAAATGAAATGTGTGTGTGCATACATCTGTATACTCACATGTGGGCATTCAACATGTGTGCACGCACACACGTGGGTGCATGGTACATGTTAATATTTTGCATCATATGTGCTTATAATGAAGTTAAAAATACACAAATTCCAAATACATTAGTAAATGCATTGCCACACAAAATTGTGACTTAGTGTGCACTGACAGCTGATTTTTCTCCATTGCCTTAATATGGTTTCTAATGCGCGCTCTCTCTCTCTCTGCGTGTGTGTGTGTGTTTGAATAGATTTTTTTTTTTTACATTAAGAAACTAATAAGAGTTCTTTGTACAAAAACATAATGGAAAAACACCCGAGGGTGGACCAGGGTTACAGAGCGTCCCCAGTGGAGAGGTCCAGGTATCTCATGGAGCACAACTCAGGCTTCAGGGAAGCTCCAGGATTTGAGTCCCTGCTCTCCAGCTTCCCAGAAGAAGCATGTGAATATTTTTATAAGTGTAAGAGATAATTTTTCCCCTAAAGATTTATTTATTTATTTATATAAGCACTGGGGTACAGTCAGAAGCGCGTGAGGGTGAGAGAATTCACCAGAGCCAGAGCGGGGAACAGAACAGGCAGACTGATGAAATACACTGCTGAGGGGAGCAGCGGGCACGGCAGGAGAGGTCTGCACACCATGTGGGACCCTCGCCTGCGGCCGGAGATCGAACCGGCGCTGCAGAGGCTGTGGGCAGCTTCGCAGCCCAGTGCTCAACCGCTGCGCCACCAGGGGAGGCCCTGTAAGAGATAATTTTTTAAGACTGTTTGACGATATGTGTACTTACAACCTCTTCTCTGTGGAGACAGGTGATCTGAAATCATTCTTCCTGCCAGTTCAAGCTCCAACTGTTGTATATTGAGAGGTTAAATAAATATCACACTGTCCCCCTCCTCCTATGGTTCTGCAGTAGTGCACCCTGTGTTCTGGCAACTCTGCACACTTTTTCCAGTGCTGTGCCGTGTCTCCAAAGTCACCAATGTGGGGAATATATCCCTGAGTTAACATCTGTAGGACACTGTATGACAGTCAGCCCTCCCTCTTGTGGGTTGTACTGCCCCTGTATTGTAGTAAGCATAGCTCAATTAAAATTTTTCCTACATGTTTCTGTGAGATTGTTGCTCCTATATGTACAGTAGCCATAAGTTAATCTTTGAGGAATTACCGACTGCTGTATTGCCAGTTAGTTGTGAATATATGGAAGAGACAAACTCAGCATCTTTACTCTGTGCCACCTTGCTAGACCCAAGGTTTTATGGGGCAGCCATGGCAGAGTTTTTAGACTTCACTTTCTATAA